ACAAAGGCAAGAACGAGCGCGGAAAAGGCAGCGAAACAAAGGCGACACGAAGGCGAGAACGAAGAAGAGAACGAAAGCGGAAGCGGAGGCGAAACGAAAGCAAAACGAAGGCGAGAACGAGGGCGGAAACGATAACAAAAACGAGAGCGAAATTCAGGTGAGAACTACGCTAGAAGACCCGGGGGAGCGGATCGGGAACGCCCTCTTGTTTTGAGAAAGAACACCCGGGGGATTGGTTTGTGAAGACCCGTCTGGTTTAGGAAAGCCCGGAGGTTTGGTTTGGGAAGGCCTGTTTGGTTTGGAAATGCCCGGGGGCTGATTTATGAAGACCTGGTTGGTTTGCGAAGACCCGTCCAGTTGGTTTGGGATGATCCGGATGGTTTGGGAAGACCCGGCTGGTTGGTTCGGTTCGGGGAGACCCGTTGGGTTTGGGAAAACCCAGGGTTTGGTTTGGGAAGACCCGGCGGTCCGGTTCCGCAACATTTGGTTTGGGAAAACCCATTTGGTTTGGGAAAACCTTGCCTCGCCCCATAGGGGGCTTCCCTCCTTGCTTCTGCCCTCATCAGTATGCGTCTCCCCAACCCAGTACAGCGTTTCGTGTCCCCACAGGAAGCTCCACCGACGGCCCCAGTGACTGCGCTCGCATGCGTTGAGCCCGCCGCTTGTGCTACCAGCGGCGGGGCAAACCTCTTCCCTTCCCCTAATTTCCCTTTAATGTTTTCCGATCATTGTCTTTTAATTGTCTTTTAATTCTCTTGCACAGCTGTGCTCTAGAGCTCGGACATCTTTATTTTCGTCGTTCGTCGTGTCGTTCGTCCCCCTCGCCCCCCCCTGTCCACGCTTCCCAGGGTAGCCCCCCTGGGCCACGGAACCCTTTATTTTCGTCGTTCGTCGTGTCGTTCGTCCCCCTCGCCCCCCCCCGTCCCCCTCGCCCCCCCCCTGTCCACGCTTCCCAGGGTACCCCTCGCCCCCCCCCCTGTCCACGCTTCCCAGGGTAGCCCCCCTGGGCCACGGAACCCTTTATTTTCGTCGTTCGTCGTGTCGTTCGTCCCCCTCGCCCCCCTCCCGCCCCCCTCGCCCCCCCCCCCTGTCCACGCTTCCCAGGGTACCCCTCGCCCCCCCCCCCCCCTGTCCACGCTTCCCAGGGTAGCCCCCCTGGGCCACGGAACCCTTTATTTTCGTCGTTCGTCGTGTCGTTCGTCCCCTCGCCCCCCCCCGTCCCCCTCGCCCCCCCCCCTGTCCACGCTTCCCAGGGTACCCCTCGCCCCCCCCCCTGTCCACGCTTCCCAGGGTAGCCCCCCTGGGCCACGGAACCCTTTATTTTCGTCGTTCGTCGTGTCGTTCGTCCCCCTCGCCCCCCCCCCTGTCCACGCTTCCCAGGGTAGCCCCCCTGGGCCACGGAACCCTTTATTTTCGTCGTTCGTCGTGTCGTTCGTCCCCCCCCCCCTCCCCCTCGCCCCCCCCCTGTCCACGCTTCCCAGGGTAGCCCCCCTGGGCCACTTTTATTTCCGTGTCGTGTCGTGTCGTGTCGTTCGTCCCCCTGCCCCCCCCCTCTGCCCCCCCCCGCCCAGGCTTCCCAGGGCAGCCCCCCTGAGCCTCGGACACCTTTGTGCAAGAGCCAGGGCACGCGTGCCACTTGTTGTATCATTTTCCCTCTAATTGCCTTGCATACCCGATAATTGTCTTGTATTTCTGATCATGGTATACACCATACAAGCGACACAAACGCACGGTATCAAGGAGGAAGGAGGAATGAGGAATGAAGCAGCGCCAACGCCTGCGCCCCCCGAAGAGACCCCGCCGCAAGCCAGCCTTGTCCTGCTCCTCCTCCTCCTCCTGCTCCTCCTGCTCCTCCTCCTCCTGCTCCTCCTGCTCCTCCTGCTGCTCCTCCTCCTCCTCCTCCTCCTCCTCGTCCCTCTCCTTTGTTGAGTTGGTCGGACTGCAATCCACGCATATTGCAGCGTCAGCCTCCCTCTCCTCCTCCTCCTCCTCCTCCTCCTCCTCCTCCTCCTCCTCCTCCTCCTCCTCCTCCTCCTCCTCCTCCTCCTCCCTCTCGGGGAATGGACGTCCGAGCGATAGCAAGCCTCCTGCCCGCGCTGGGCGATAGCAAGCCTCCTGCCGCGAGGGCTGGGCACGGGAATTACCGTCCAGGCACTAGAGGGAAAAAATCCCCGGGAGGTCCCGGGAGGTGGGGCCCCGGGAGGTGGGGGCCTTCCCGCTAATTCGTCCCTGTGTTTTTACAGGGTTTCATTCTCGGGAAATTATCGGGAAGGGTCCCCGGGAGGTGGGGCCCCGGGAGGTGCCCGGGAGGTCCGTTCATTCTGGACGGTAATCCCCGAACCCCTGGACGGTAATCCCCAGCAATGAAAATCATGCGAGGCGAGGGGTTGGGGAGCTCGGGTTGCTCTCTTGCAGTTGCGCCTCGCCGAGAGCCTTCCAGAGCCTCCTTCTCCTCCTCCTCCTCCTCCTCCTCCTCCTCCTCCTCCCTCTCGGTGACGTGGTGACGGCCCTCCCTCCTCTCCTCACCCTCCTGCTGCCCCTCTCCCTCCCCCTCTTGCTGCTCCCCTCCTGCTGCTCCCCTCATTTTTCGGCTCCTTTTCCCCACTTGTTCCCTCCGTCGCTTCCTGGTCGTCGTCCCCTCTCGTCGTCTTCCCCTCACCTGCATCCTTCCTCCGCGTCTCGCTCTTTCGACTCGTTCGATGTGTCGTGCCATCATACCGTCACCATAGCATCATAGTGTACGTCTTATTATGCTCATATCATGGTCTACGTGCAATATTGTAGGCCAACCATGTAAGACCGAGTATGGCTGACGCCCATAAGCATTCATTGGAACAGGGGAATTAGCGGGAATTAGCGGGAACGGTTAGAGGGGAACCAGGGGAATTAGCGGGAACCAGGGGGATTAGCGGGAATTGATTTCCAGGAAATTGTTGGGATTATCGACAAGAGGAATAGGCGGAACAGCTCTGGTAGCACAAGCGGCGGGCCCAACGCATGTGGGACCCCCCCACGCTGTACAGCGTTTCGTGGCCCCGTAGGGAGCTCCACCGAAGGCCCTAGCAGCTGCGCTCGCATGCGGGACCCGCACACAGTGCAGCGTTTTGTTGCCTCAAAGGGAGTTCCACCGAAGGCCCTTGTGGCTGCTCTCGCATGCGGGACCCCGCTCAGTACAGCGTTCCGTGGCCTTGTAGAGAGCTCCGCCGAAGGCCCCAGTGGCCACACTCGCATGCAGGACGCGCACCGAACCCAGCGTTCCGTGGCCTTATAGAGAGTTCCACAGAAGGTTCCAGTGGCCGCGCGCGCATGCGGGACCCCCACCCAGTGCAGCGTTTCGTGGCCCCGTAGGGAGCTCCACCGAAGGCCCTAGTGGCTGCGCTCGCATGCGGGGCCCACACCCATTACAGCGTTTCGTGGCCCCACACGGGCTCCCACCGACTGCCCCAGTGGCTGCATTCGTATGCGGCCCCCCCGCCAAATTCAACGTTTCGCGGCCCCGTAGGGAGCTCCACCGAAGGCCCCAGTGGCAGTGTTCGCATGCGTCTTCCCAACGTTGTACAGCGTTTCGTGGCCCCATGTGGATCCACCGAAGCTGCGCTCGCATGCGGGACCCCCCCACGCTGTACAGCGTTTCGTGTCCCCACAGGGAGCTCCACCGAAGGCCCGAGCGGCTGCGCTCGCATGCGGGACCCTCACCCAATACAATGTTTCGTGGCCCCATAGGGAGCTCCACCGAAGGCTTCAGTGGCGGTGCCCCGCATGCGTTTCCCCCGCCCAGTACAACGTTTCGTGGCCCCATAAGGCATTCCGCCGAAGGCCTCAGTGGCGGTGTCCGCATGCGTTTCCCCCACCTAGTACAGCGCTTCGTGGCCCCATAGGGGACTCCGCCGAAGGCCCCAGTGGCGGCCCCGCCCCAGTGCGGCGCACCCCTCACACGTTTCGCGGCCCCATCGTAGTTTCCGCGTGCAGTCGCAGTGGCAGCGCCCGCATGGCGGCCCCGCCCCACATCGACACACCCTTCGCATGCCTTATGGCCCCATTAGGAGACCAACCGAAGGCAATACCCGCAACGACGGTATTCACAATTGCATATGGTTGGATCCTTTGCCATGATAATTTTCATTGCCGTTTTGTTCATGTAGAAGAGGAGGCCGGGGGAGGTTGAGAAGGGAGGGAGGGAAGGAAGGAATAATGAATGAAGAGGAGAGGAGAAGGAGGGGAGAAGGGCCTTCGAGGGGCATGATGATGATGATGATGATGATGATGATGATGATGATGATGATGATGATGATGATGATGATGATGATGATGATGATGATGATGCTGATGATGATGGTGATGATAATGATGGTGATGATGAGGAGCAGGAAGAGGAGGAGGAGGAGGAGGAGGAGGAGGAGGAAGACGAGGAGGAGGAGGAGAGGGAGGAAGACGAGGAGGAGGAGGAGGCGGAGGAGGAGGAGGAGGAGGAGGAGGAGGAGGAGGAGAGGGAGGAAGACGAGGAGGAGGAGGCGGAGGAGGAGGAGGAGGAGGAGGAAAAGGAGGAGGAGGAGCATGCTTCGTGACTGGCGCAGACGGGGGCCGGACGTCGTGAATGGCGCAGACGGGTGGCCATGCTGAGGCAGGTCATGGAACAGATCTGCAGCAGACCTTACTCGTATGGCGCTCTCAAGCCCGTGCCTTTTCACTACGCGTGTCAACGTTTCGCCCCTGCTTGGGCTCGTCAGGACTCGAATGAAAATGGCAGCGGCATGCGAACACAGCAAGTGCATGATCGACACAATACTGCGTGCAATGCGATACGGCAAACAAAAACACATGCATGCATGCGGCGATCTCTCAACAACACCCCTGTATTGGATGACTGCTGCTTCTGCCGCCGGGAGGGGCAACAAATCGTGCCCCCCCGCCCTCACTTGAACGAAGGTTTTTTCGGGACCCTCAGCGAACAGGACAGATGAAAATACCCAAGGTGGCTTAGCTCACTCACCTGCTCCGGCATGACCGTCGCCATCACGATCCAGCGGTACATGATCGTTGAGCTCCAGAACTGGATCACCGACCCGCACGGGGGAGGCACAGCGCCCAGGCCATTCTCCACCCAGGGGGCCATGGCGCAGATCTAGCATCGCACCAACACGCAAGATGCCAATCATCGTCAAGGGGGGCGGGGAGAGCAGCATGGCGGATAGTGGAGAGCAAACCACGATGGACACAGCTGGGAAAGCATACTGCCGACTGCTACGCTATCAGGGGGGCAGAGTCATAGACTACCTCATCAAGGCTGCGCAGCTTCGCATTCCGCCATGGGGAACGATAGCTGTGCTTGCCGTATAACGTGGAGGGGCTTAAATGTGGAAGCCGATCCCGAGAACGACGGCGTACCCAAGCGAGGCTGAGCTAACGGTCTACCCGGACACCGGTATGCTGCCGACAGACGCGCAGACAGACAGGCCAGCCCCAACCCACAACGTCATCACGGTGGTTAGAGACGAGGAAGAAGAGTTCAGCCACGGCTCAGACGGCGCAGTGGAGGCACGTGCAGCTTCCAAGGCGCCATCTTCGGCAAGGTGCACCACCGAGCCTCTGAGACACGTAAACAATACGATATTCGCTGGTCAGTTGAAATTCGGACAACGCGCAGCAACAGAGCGGAGGTACACGCCACGACCGCCACCATGCAATGGATACTGGCCGATGGCATCTCGGGCGACATGCTCGTGTGAGTGGACAACAGGATGGCCATCGACGTCGCCGCCAGAGAATGTGCTCGACAGGATGGGGTACCCACGGCTGTAATACTCCGCAGTATATATCTGGAAGTACAGCTGCAAGTAAAGATCTGGATGATTCGCGTACGCAGCCACAAGGGACATCTGTGGAACGAGCTTGCAGACCGCACAGTGGGACGGGTGGACCTGCTCCCCACAGGAACCGTCAGCGACCAGGTGGCAACTCTCATGACCTTCGACACACGGGGGTCATGGCTACTCGGCATACCAGATCGAGGCTTGCAAGCACGCCCGAATAAATCCCAAGGCAGACTAGCGATCACTCGGCGCGAAGAGAAGGTCAACAATACTGCGTGGGCTTCGCCGAAACCAAGAGCGGGGCAGGTAGTCAAGCCCAAGACCGACATCCCATTCGAGCTGAAGGTATGCACCTACAACGCCCTCACCGATAAAGGGTTCAACGCGGGAGGGGGCGAGGACGAGGTTGGAGCGGCTGCCAGACAGCAGGAGCCAGCGCTCGCCGTGAAGAACGCCAGCTTCCACCTCGGCGAAGTGCAGGCAGGGAATGCAGCGCTGGTCAACAGCAGCTCTTGAGCGTGCTGCATGCTCGGGCGCACGAGATTGCGCCGCATCGACTTCACCACATATACTGTGCCACGAATGCTGCACGACATCTATTGCGCGCTATAGACTTTGCACAACGTATGCTGCACCGTCTGTTGTCCACGCCGGCTAAAAACAAATTCATCATAAGTCACGCAGCGTTTTCGATTCGGTAGGTATTTGCTTTGCACGACTCATCGTCCTCACCAAGGGTTAGCGGTCTTGATTTTCCCCCCGCATTCACTGCGACGAGAACTGGAGCCTGCCTCTGGTACATCTCGACGTTCTTCACGTTCTGAGGGTGATCAGGTCGTCCCGCGGCCCTTCCCTCCTTGTCCTGCTGCCTTCCCGTGCCTGTGCCTTAATTCGCTTCGCACGTGTCCCATCGTTCGCTTAGGAAAAACGGCATAAACATGCACTGTCGGACGGTCTGCGTCGATTTCTTGGATCTGCGTTGGACCCCCTGGCGGCGCCTCCGGCGCCGCCCCTAGCGCGCTCTGCGCGCCAGGGATCCAAGAAATCCGCGCGGACCTCCGACAGTTTAGGTTTATGCAGTTTTTTGTTCCTCTATGTACCCCAGTTAGCCTCGCACGTGTCCCATCGTAGCCCGACTGCTTGCTGGACCTAGCTCGCAGCCGAACAAAGAAACTGTTCTTGTACAGGCAGTGGAGGGTCAGGAGGGAAAACTAGACGCAGACGCAAATAAACGTCGACTCCCGGGAAAATATGGGAAAGTATGGGAAGTGGAGGGGAGGACGAAAACCCAGAAACTACGAAAAATATGGGGATCATGGAATTTTTATATCTATTTGTATCTCTCTGGGCTCCTCCAGTAGAGGAGAGCTCTGCTCGCGCGGCCCCCACGGCGGCTCAGCCCGCCAGGAGCCAGGCGGCGGTGACCGGCTACTGGCACGAATTGTACACCCTCTTCGAGCAGGACGCCGCCCTGGAGGACCCGCGCAGGGGCGAACCCCGCGCCCCGAGGTCGGGGGTCGTCGCCCGAGCCTGAGATTCTGGCGCTGCATTTTTTCCACAACGAGCGTTTTCTCCTGGTTTCGGGCCCCAGGACCCTCAGAGATCCATCCGCCTCGAATAACGATGCAGACAGGTGGGGTCCAGGGCTCCGGTCATGATTTGCCGCTATGTTGCATGTTTTTGCAACGTGATGAGATCTGAGGGGAGCCGCGCTTTGCAGCTCGCCGGGCGTCTTGACTGCTAAAGATGTTTAGAGCGGGAGCGACGGAGCTATCAGCAGTTGCTCGAAGTTCAAGGGGTCATCGATGCAGGGGCGTCCGATGTCCCCCGAGTCTTCCATCACTGCGGTCAGTGGGGCCGAGCGTTGGGAGCAAAGATGCGCCGCCGGCTCCGCTCCGCCAGGGGCGCGTCCCTTAGCTGCTGCTGTTGCTGTTTCCGTGGGCTCGGATGGAGGAGGAGGAGGAGGAGGAGGAGGAGGAGGAGGAGGAGGCGGAGGCGGAGGCGCAGGCGCAGGAGGAGGAGGAGGAGGCGGAGGCGGAGGCGCAGGCGGAGGAGGAGGAGGAGGAGGAGGAGGAGGAGGAGGAGGAGGAGGAGGAGGAGGAGGAGGAGGGGGGGGGGTAGGCGATGGGGAGGGGGACGGGGGAGCGGGACGGGAGAGGGAGGAGGGGAAGGGGTGGGGTGGTGACGATGACGATGATGACGAGATCACGACGACGATCACGACGACGATGACGATGATGATGACGATGATGATGACGATGATGATGACGATGATGATGATGATGATGATGATGATGCTGATGCTGTTGATGATGATGACAATGCTTATGATGGTGATGGTGGTGGTGGTGGTGATAATGCTTATGATGACCACGAGTGCAATGATCGAGGTGATGACGATGGCGACTCTCGTTACGTGTGATGATTGTGATGGTTACGATGCCGACGATGATGATGATGATGATGATGATGACGATGCTGGTGCTGCTGCTGATGATGATGCAGATGATGATGATGCTGATGCTGCTGCTGCTGCTGATGATGATGATGATGATGATGTAGATGTTTGTGCAGATGATGCTACTGATGATGATGATGATGATGATGATGATGATGATGATGATGAGGTTGAGGATGAGGATAGGATGAGGATGAGGACGAGGATGAGGATGAGGATGATGATGATGATGCTGATGATGACGATGATGTTGATGATGATGATTTCGGCGAGGATTCTCATTATGATGGTGGCGACGATGACGATTACGGTGGCGATGACGAGGAGGACGCGATGAGAATGCTGCCGCTGCAGTATGACGACGGCGCTGATGCTGATACAGATGCTGATGACGATGGTAGTATGATGATGGTGATGCTGATGAGGATGAAGATGCAGATGCTGATGATGATGAAGATGAAGCTGCACATGATGATGCTGCTGATGATGATGATCATGATGATGATGAGGATGATGATGATGCTGATGTTGATGCTGATGCTGATGATGATGACGACGATACTGATGCTGCTGCTGATGATGATGATGCTGATGACTCTGCTGCTGCTGATGATGTCATGCTGATTATGGTGATGAGGTGTATGCTGATAATGTTGATTACGATGATGATGCTGATAATGCTGCTGTTGTTGGTGATGATGACTAGGATGATGCTGCTGCTGCTGATATGATGACGTTGATGACGACGACGATGATGATGCTGATGGTGATGGTGATGATGACGATGACGATGACGATGACGATGACGAAGCTGCTGCTGATGACGATGCTGCTAATGACGACGATGACGGCGATGATGCTGATGCTGACCATGATGATCATGCTGCTGATGATGATGAGGATGATGATGAGGATTCTCATTGTGATGATCTCCAGTCTGGTTCCTCGTATGGTCTCGCGTAGGTTCTCTCCTATGGTCTCCCGGGTCTCAGAATGGATTTCCGTATGTGTTGTGTTTTTGAGTGGGTTGTTTTGGGTGTTCTTTTGCCAGGTGTGATTTTCCCATGTTTGGTTTTCCTCGACTGCGCCCTCCAGGACCTGTCCTTGGGTCCCCGTGACCATCAAGAAGCATGGGGGACGGAAAACTACCTTGAGGGGAGGGGTCGGGGCCTCTGGGGATGCGCACTGGCAAAACACACCATCGGATGTTTGGGCACGCGCGCATGAGCCCATATCTTCTCGCGGAGGGCGCATTGCGCGAGCGTTCGTCACACGAGGGCGGCCTCGCGAGCTGGGGGGCATACTCTTCGTGCGTGGCTGGGCGCTTGCGTCCTCGTGTGGGCTCCCCGAGATGCGGCGGGGGCTCCTGCGGGCAGGCAGGGGACAATCGCTGCAAGGACTGGCCCTTCCACGTTCCCCGCCGCCCGCTGCACCTCCGCCTCCGCCACCGCTTCTGCTTCAACCTCCACTTCGCAGGTCGCGCCGCCACCCTACGAGGCGAGGATGGCGGCTCTCATCCAGAGGATCAGGGTCAAGGGGGCCAGGCAGGCTTAGCTCCCTTTTCGTTTGCTGTAGTCACGTGACCTTTCTTTCCAGCTGTACATCTGTACGTCAGACTCCATCTCCCCTCTCGCTTCTGCTTCCGTGCCTCTTCCGCTTCCGCCTCCATCTCCACCTTCACTGCGCCTTCGGGTGCGCGGTCAAGCCTGGCCTGTGCCTCGAGTTTTGGATTGGCTTGCCTGGTTATATTCCTGTCCTCCCACTTGAGCGCGCGTCGTATTGCTGATTCGGTAGCTCGCGCCACGCCTGAGCCAGCGGCGTCTGAACTCCACCGCACACCGCCCGCCGCCCACCGCGCACCGCGCGCCACGCGCCACGCGCTGCGCGCCACGCGCCGCGCGCCTCCGCCCGGCCATTCGCCCGCCGCCCGCGTCGCGCTCATCGGCCCAGATAGGACAATACGGCCAGTGACAGGACTGTGCGGAGGAGGCACGAGGGTGGCTTTATCAGGTGGCGGCTGCTCGAGACGGTGTCTGTTGTTGCCCCGAGTTCGAGGTGGCGGATGTTTCTTTGGCGCTGTCGACTTCCAGGGTTTCCCGCTCGTCCCTTTAGATAGGACGAGGCGGCCACCCGCCGCCCGTCGCTCATTGCGCGCTCACCCATCCGCCCGCCGCCGCCCGCCCGCCCGCCTGCAGCCGACACTTTGAGGAAACAAACAGGTGTAGCTTCGCGCGGTGCTCGGGCCCCCCCGAGGTCTTCCATGGGCGCTCTTGGCCCGCCTGGGCGCGAATGGGGCCGGCGAAGGGCTTCGTCTCCCGCAGCGAAGAGGTGCTCCCTCGTGGCGGGATTCCGAGTCCCTCCGCGCCCTTTGCTGTCCCCCCTCGCCTCTTTCTGTTTCCTCCGCCCCGTTTCGTTTCCCCCGCCTTCTTCTGTTTCCCCGGCCTTTCTCTTTTGTCCAGGCTGTCCAAATTCGTTCCAGTCCGCGCCGGTCCCAAACAAAAAGCGGGTGTGGAGCATTCGTTCTGGTCCGGGCTAAATAATGACCAATTCCGGTTCAATCCGTTCCGGTCCGCGTGAAGTCCGAAATTTGGGTTCGTTCGTGGTTTGGCTCATCCGTGTTTGAGGTCCCCCGCCCGCCCGCCATGCCCAGACCCTCCATTTTCCCTAGCCCCTTCCCGGCTTTCCTCTGGCCTCTGCTGCGTCGGCTTGCTCGGCTTGGACGCCCTAGGATCTCTCCAGCCTTCCTCTTTTCCCCATCCCTTCTCGCTCTCCCCGTCCCGCTTTCCCTCCCCTTGCCCCTCCCCGTCCCCCTCCCCCTCCCCCCCTTTGCCTTCCACCTTCTGCCTTCTCTCCCCCCTCCCTGCTCCCCCCTCCCCCTTCTTGCTCCCCCCTCTCCGCCTCCCCCCCTTTCTCCCTCGCCCCTTCGCCTTCCCCACCCTCTCCCTTCACCTCTTCTCCTTTCGCTGCCTCCCCTCCCCCTCCCCTCCCCCCTCCCCCTTCCTTTTTCCATTCGGGGTCCGCACGAGTCCAACGCGCGCGCCAAGGACGCCGCCGGCGGCGTGGAGCATTGGGAGGAGGTGCTTCTTTAGAGAAATATGATCCGCAGCATCGGGGGAATGGGCACATGTCTCGCTGTCCTTTTCTTCCCGTCTCTGTCTCTGTCTCTGTCTATGTCATTCTTTTTTCCCTTCTCTTTGATTTTCTTTCTCCCAATGTGTTCAGTATTCCTCACGCTTGCGTTCCACTTCCCTGCGCAGCAGCTAGCATATTCCCAGAGGCCGCGGCCTCACCCATGCGGCCTTTTGTCTTGGGCGTTTGTCCGCAGCGAAGGCCCCCCCTTTTCCGTCTCATTTTTCACGCCCCAGGCGCAGGCAGGCACGAGGCTTCCTACGCAGGATGTTAAGTGGATGGTCTGGTCTTCGGTGAGGATCCTCGGGCCCACTGGCCGCGCCCGGGTCGGACGCTTGCCGCCTGCCAGCGGTGGACCTCGCGTGCTCGGCCGCCCTGCGCCCCGGGCGCCCCGCGGCCCCTGCGGGTCCTCTGGAGGCCCCCGGAGGCCCCGGAGACTTCGAGAGGCCTCCCGGGGCCCTGCAGGATCCTGCAGGATCCTGCGAAGCCTGACTGGCCCGGGTCTGGGTTAACCCCGGTCCGTCGATCCCGGACCGTGGCCTCCGGAGGCTCGACCCCCGACCCTCGACCCTCGATCCTGTGCTCGACCGTCGACCCTCGACCCTCGAGTAAAAAAGGCTTCCGCAGGCGCCCAGCCTCGACCCTCGACCCTGCTCCCTCCACCTGCTCCCCCCTCCGCTTGACAAGAGCTCTGACATGACCTCCGACGTCGTGTCTTTGTCGCAACGTGGACCCCGGTTGCTCTGGACACCTTCCCCAGGGCCAGTCTCTCATCCCGAGTTGTCATTTTACGGCCCTTGGGGGCCCAGTAGCGGCTCTTCCGTTGTTGAAGATAGCCCCAGAGGCGTCAGCCTGTTCGACTCAGCGGCGCGAGGGGGTCTGGGGCGATCCCTCCCTCTATCTTTATGACGGGCAGGGCTCCTACAGGGGGGTGATCAAGAAGCTCTGTTTTTTCCCCGCCAGGCTTCTGCAGAGGCTATGTTGGGCTCCGCCGAAAGGTACCGCAAAGGTACCGCAGAGCTATGAAAAAGCTTCTTCAAGGCTGTTTTTGAAAAGTGTTCTTTTCTCCAAAACCCCTTCAAACCTCTATCTGATGAAGCATCAAGTTCCAGACCCACCATAATCCCGAGGATAATCCAGCCGCCGTGGCGAGGAACCGCCCCGAGGCACGCCACACGGCGGAAAGCGTAAAACAGATGTGGACCCATGCGCCTCGAATTGCGATTTTCTTTCCCTTCCTTCAGGTGCAACTCCTGAAAGCTTAGATTCGGCATCGGCCTTGGTATTTCTCTGGTGAAAAGCGGGCCTACTTCCACCGAGTCCCGCCCAATCTCGCTAAATCAAGTTCATTCCTGCCAATCCAGCGTAATCAAGCCCAATTGCACTTCAATCGGGCCTGCGAGCCCTGAGTCGCTTCCACGACGCCCTCCTCTGCCCAGATCCAGGGCCAGAATTTCGGCCACGCTCGCAGGACACCGCTTTTGCCTGGCTGATCGTTTGGCTTGATTGTGAGACTCGCTCTGTGGTTTCACATTTGCTTAACTGCGATTGTCATCTGCAGTGGTCCAAGCCTTCCGATCCCTGCGCACAATGTGGGCATACCAAAAAGGATCGGTTTGCCCACGGGCGCCCCACAGTAAGAGCTCATCTCCCGATGGGCCCGCGAAGCCCTGGGGCACCCCTGCGAAGCTCAGCGTCGACGAAGGAGGTGCCGCTGGATCTCTTAGAGACTGTTCTTGTAGGGTCGGCGATAACCTGGGCCATCGGGCCCGCCTGGCACCCCCACCCTGGATAACCTGACCTTGCCGGCGGTTGTGCAGGTCCGAAGGGGGCACGCAGTACCTGTGCTCGCAGGCATGCGCGGGGCTTCACGGAGTAAAGAGGTTCAGTTATCGGCCTGCACCCCCCCCGGACAACCCGGCGTACCGCCGAAAAACAAAGAATGATCTCTTACGCCAGGCCCAGACCCCGATGTTATGATTTTTTGAGACCGTCGACCCCCAGAGGTCTCGACCCATTCCCCGGGACCGGTTTTTCACTATGAGTTGTTTTTGACGGTCCCGAGGCTGGGTGAGGGCCCTTCGAGGCCGAAGATAGCGAAAACACATCCGTGGTGATTTTTTCAAGACTCGAGGGGGTCTGGGAGGCTTGCTTATCGTGTGTGCCCACCGCAGCCACGCCGCCCAGGGTCCTGCAGAGGGCGCCGGCAGCGAGGCCTCGGAGGACGAGCCCGGAGCCTCCTCGCGGCAGCCAGCGGGCGAGGCTGCCCGCCGCGCGCCGTCGCCGCCGCCGCCGCGCCGAACAGCGCCCAGGAGATCCGCACGGGTGCCGTGGAGACTCAGAGGAGGAAAATGTACCAATCCCGGTGCCCTTCTCTCGTTTCTCCTTTTTCGGGCCTCCCGGGGAGGCCCTCGTCGCCACCGCTGGATTCGCTGCGAAATTCTGGTCAGAGTCAGAACGCACCCCAGGAGATGTCTGGGGAGTAGCGGTATCGGTGCCTGTGGGTTTCCCCACGAAAGACTGTCTTTGTTTAAGCTCGCATGCCCCACCCCTCCACTCCCCCCCAGTGCCCCAGGACAGCCTGACCTTGTCGGGTGCGCAGGTCCGACGGGGTACGATAGGTTCGCATCGTATCGACCAGCGGCGACGCCGCCGCCGGCGTTCCACGTGGGACACCGTCAGCGACCCAGAATCGGTCAACGTACGATCTGACGTGGCGGAACCGGCCGATCGTTCATGGTTGAACGATGCCCGCGGTGTCAGGAACCAACGCCGGGGTCGACACGACACGAACCCGTGGTACGCAGTACTGGCGCGCGCGGGCAGACGTGGGGCTGCCCAGAGCGAAAAGGTTAGGTCATCGGCCGTCGTCTCCCCCACCCCCCTCCCTCGCCAGATAACCTAGGTTTCGACTCGGAGATCGACTACAGAATTGATTTACCCTTAAATTGAACCTTGTGTCGAATCTATGATAACTACACCGAATGCTCGTAGATCTGCGCACGTGCTCACATGCTGCATATTTTTCATAGAGTCGACGGGGATTTGGACTTTTGGGTAAGCCAATGATGGAGTCGACCCCCTACTCGAATGTAATCGCCGACAGACTTAAAAACAGCGGTCTCCTGCTTCCGTGGAAGTCGGTGGCGACAGGCTGCCTCTGGCCTGGACGTGCCCTCCGCCGAAGGCGGAGAGAAGGGCGAGGCGGGACCCAGCCGCGAGCCGCGGCGCAACTCTGGCCTCTGGGGGCAGTGGTGGTGATGATGATGATGATGCTGATGACGATGACGATGACGATGATGATGATGATGCTGATGCTGATGCTGATGCTGATGCTGATGCTGATGCTGATGGTGGTGATGATGATGATTTTGATGAGGCTGATGATGATAATGACGATGATGCTGATGATGCTGCTGATGATGCTGATGATGCTGATGGTGATGATGATGCCGATGACGATTGTACTGATGACGATGATGATGCTGCTGATTATGATGATTATTATTACGATGATGATGATGATGATGATGATGATGATTATTAGGATGATGATGATGATGATGATGATGATTAGGATGATGATGCTGATGATGATGACGATGATGATGCTGATGATGCTGCTGATGATGATGAGTGTGATGATGATTATGATGATGACGACGACGATGATGATGCTGATGATGATGCTGATGATCATTATGATGATGATGATGATGATGATGATGATGATGATGACGATGACGATGATGATGATGATGATGATGATGATGATGATGATGACGATGACGATGATGATGATGATGATGATGATGATGATGATGATGATGATGATGATGATGATGATGATGATGATGATGATGATGATGATGATGATGATGATGATGATGATGATGATGATGATGATGATGATGATGATGTGATGATGATGATGATGATGATGATGATGATGATGATGATGATGATGATGATGATGATGATGATGATGATGATGATGATGATGATGATGATGATGATGATGATGATGATGATGATGATGATGATGATGATGATGATGATGATGATGTGATGATGATGATGATGATGATGATGATGATGATGATGGTGGTGGTGGTGGTGGTGATCATGCTGATGGTGATGATGGTGATGATGATGGTGATGATGGTGATGGTGATGGTGATGGTGATGGTGATGGTGATGGTGGTGATGATGGTTCGTTTGGCCCTCTTCTCCCTGTGCCCTTGGCCTAGCCCGACAGTCCCAATACCTGCATATGGCTTGTTCGTCTTCTGTCTAGTTGAGGATTGACTATAACAGCGTGGTTATTATAGGACCACCTCAATGCGCTCTGGGGTTATCGCCTCTTGCATTTCCTTTGAAATAAGGGCTCACGCTCAAGCGTTTCGGGGTTGCTACCGAACTGACAGCCCAACAACAGCGCTCCCGCTCACTTCTTCGCTTTTCACTCAGGGCTGGTGCCCTTGCCCGCCGCCGCACACTGGTCCTCCAACAAAACCAGCGCTCCCGCTTGGCACTTCCTGGTTTTCCCAACTATCCTGTGGTGTTGGGTCTTCGTTTTGACGAGACGTCGCCCCGCGTTCCTCCTCCTCTCCTCTCCTCCTCCCCCTCCTCCTCCCTCCTCCATGCGTTTCACCCACCCAGTACAACGTTTCGTGGCCCCATAGGGAGCTCCACCGAAGGCCCCAGTGGCAGCGTTCGCATGGCGGCCTCGGGCCATTTCGGCACACCCCTCACGAGGATCGTGGCCCCATAGGGAGCTCCACCGAAGGCCCCAGTGGCAGCGTTCGCATGGCGGCCTCGGGCCATTTCGGCACACCCCTCACGAGGATCGTGGCCCCATAGGGAGCTCCACCGAAGGCCCCAGTGGCAGCGTTCGCATGGCGGCCTCGGGCCATTTCGGCACACCCCTCACGAGGATCGTGGCCCCATAGGGAGCCCACCGAAGGCCCCAGTGGCAGCGTTCGCATGGCGGCCTCGGGCCATTTCGGCACACCCCTCACGAGGATCGTTAGGGAGCTCCACCGAAGGCAGGGTTCGCATGGCGGCCTCGGGCCATTTCGGCACGAAGGCCTTTCGCATGGATTTCGGCACCCCCTCACGAGGATCGTGGCCCCATAGGGAGCTCCACCGAAGGCCCAGTGGCAGGGTTCGCATGGCGGCCTCGGGCCATGTCGGCACACCCCTCACGAGGATCGTAGCGGCAGGGTTCGCACGGCGGCCTCGGGCCATGTCGGCACACCCCTCACGAGGGTCGTGGCCCCATAGGGAGCTTCACCGAAGGCGCCAGTGGCAGCGTTCGCATGGCGACCTTGGGCCATGTCGGCACACCCCTCACGAGGATCGTGGCCCCATAGGGAGCTCCACCGAAGGCCCCCAGTGACAGGGTTCGCATGGCGGCCTCGGGCCATTTCGGCACACCTCTCACGAGGATCGTGGCCCCATAGGGAGCTCCGCCGAAGGCGCCAGTGGCAGGGTTTGCACGGCGGCCTCGGGCCATTTCGGCTCACGAGGATCGTGGACCCATTGGGAGCTCCACCGACGGCGCCAGTGGCAGGGTTCGCACGGCGGCCTCTGGCCATTTCGGCACACCCCTCACGAGGATCGTGGCCCCATAGGGAGCTCCACCGAAGGCCCCAGTGGCAGCGTTCGCATGGCGGCCTCGGGCCATTTCGGCACACCCCTCACGAGGATCGTGGCCCCATAGGGAGCTCCAGCGAAGGCGCCAGTGGCAAGGTTCGCATGGCGGCCTCGGGGCATTTCAGCACACCCCTCACGAGGATTCTTGGCCTCATAGATGTGTTGCTTCAACAACCGCGCCTGGGCGTCGTACTCCGCCGTGTCGACGTGCAACGCCACCTCCTCCCTCATGGCTCTCAAAGCCCTCTTCTGCTTTTGCTCCTCGGTCAGAGGGACGCCGTCCGTGTCGTGTCGTCGTCGGCGCCCGCGAAGACGGCCACGAACGTGTTCCTGAGCATGTCGGGTTCCGGCTGGAAGCTGTGGCCACATAGGGAGCGCGGGCAAAGATGGTATTCACAATTGCGGTATTCACAACTGCATATGGTTGGGTCCTTCGCCAGGCTAATTTACCCAGGAGTGGCGTTCACGCCTTGGGTCCACAATCTTGCTCTGCTGCAACAGCGACGCTCCCGCTCGATACTCCCTCGCTTTTTACCGAAGACTGGCGTTCTTCCTCGCCGCCGAAAACTAGCCCCCAACAAGATCATTGCTCCCGCTTGATCGTCCTTCGCTTTTTGTTCAGGCGTCGCAGGGCTCCCTACCACAACGGCGCTCCTGCTCGATACTTGTGTAATTCCCAACAACCTGTGGTGTTGGCTCTTCGTTTCGAAGAGACGGCGCCCTGCGTTCTCCTCCTCCTCCTCCCGCTTCCTCCCCCTCCTCCCTCCTCCCCCTCCCCCTCCTCCTTCCTGCGTTTCGCCCACCAAGTACAGCGTTTCGTGGCCCCATTGGGAGCTCCACCGAAGGTCCCAGTGGGACCGCCCGCATGCGTCAACCACCACCCAGGACAGCTTTTCGTGGCCCCAAAGGGAGCTTCACCGACAGCTCCACTGGCAGGGTCCGCGTGCGTCAACGCCACCCAATACAGCAGCGTTTCGTGTCCCCATAGGGAGCTCCACCGAAGATCCCGGTGGGACCGCCCGCATGCGTCAACGACACCCGGGACAGCGTTTCGTGGTCCCGTAGGGGTTCCACCGACGGCCCCAGTGGCACCGCCCGCATGCGTCAACGCCACCCAGGACAGCGTGTCATGGTCCTACAGGGAGTTCCGCCGAAGGTCCCACTTGGACCGCCCGCATGCGTCAGCCACCACCCAGGACAGCCTCTCGTGGCCCCAAACAAAGGGAACTTCACCGACAGCTCCACTGGCAGGGTCCGCATGCGTCAACGCCACGCAGACCACGATTCGTGGCCCGACAGGGAACTCCACCGAAGGCTCCATTGGCAGCGCCCGCATGCGTCAACGCCGCCCAGGACAGCGTTTCGTGGCCCGACAGGGAGCTCCACCGAAGGCTCCAGTGGCAGTGCCCGCATGCGTCAACGCCGCCCACGGCAGCGTTTCGTGGCCCCATAGGGAGCTCCACCGAAGGCTCCAGTGGCAGGGTCCTCATGCGTCACTGCCACCCATGTACGCACACCCTTCACACGGTTCGTGGCCCCACAGGGAAATCCATCGAAGGCCCCAGTGGCAGGGTCCGCATGCGTCACCGCCACCCGTGACAGCGTTTCGTGGCCCTATATGGAGCTCCACCGAAGGCCCCACTGGCACCGTTCGCACGCGTCTCCCCCGCCCAGTAGTAGTAGTAGTAGTAGTAGTAGTAGTAGTAGTAGTAGTAGTAGTAGTAGTAGTAGTAGTAGTAGTAGTAGTAGTAGTAGTAGTAGTAGTAGTAGTAGTAGTAGTAGTAGTAGTAGTACGTGTAGTAGTAGTA